CGAGCAAACAAAGAAAACAAAGCACAGAGGCAAAACATTTCATAGGTAAGGTTTAGTTATTTACCTTTTTGTCTGTTATGAACTTTTGTGCTATACAGGTAACGCTATTGATTAAAATACAGTCACTTACTGCATTCACCATTAGGCAGAGTAGCACTAACTTACACTAAATACTTAGCTTATGCTAGTTTTGTTGAATAAAATCAGCAAACAATGCAAAAGAAATATGACAACAAGACGGCTAGGTGAAGGAGTCATTCATAATGGAGATTGATTCACAAACGAATTGCTCCCTCTGTTAGAACCAGAAGTGAAAGTGGGAGAGGAGGTGTGTTTCAGGACACGGATTAGATCAAATTTAACAGGGAGAGTGTATACTACATTTTCATACACACAAACACAAGCTTTTTATCAGGAATGCTCGTGTGATCACTGATCCATGTAGTAAAGTGATGTAAAATTATAATTTTCGTAATTAAAAAAAAAAAAGAAAATGCACACTGACCTCCAGGAAAACTCCCAGTCATAGATATATGTGTATATCTCTGGCTCTAAATGGCCACAGTCCTCCACTGCAGCTTGGTCCCGCATTCATTTCAAAGGAGCACTACCCTGTACTAAAATGGCGGCTCTATTGACACATTACTTCCAATAGACAACAACAGGGTAGGCGTCATCTAATGTCCATATCTATGGTACACAACAATCACGTCTGTAATGACGAGGGCATGAAAGCTTGGAGTTTCTTTATGTTCTGTAGAGTCGTAAAGGTGCCATAGAATGAAAATCTGGATGTACTTAGGCATAGCTGAATAAAAAAAAGTAGGGTAATGTCATCCCATGAGTCTCATACACAATTGTTTCCTCGTTCTCATGTAAACCCAGTAAGTGCAAAACTCTGACTCAACAATTTTTAAGATTTAAACAATGAATTTCACCCTTATTTTAACATTTATTTAAGCTTCAGTCAACTTTTTACTTTTATTCCTTCAAAATAAATTGTATTAATGCATTCTAAATTGTATTAATGCATTCATTCATCTTTAGGGGGGCAAAGCAGTGACGCATGAGTGCTGTCGCCTCACAGGAAGAACCTCGGCTCAGTTGGCATTTTTGTGAGGAGTTTGGATGTTCTCCCTGCGTTCACTTGGGTTTCCTCCGAGTGCTCCGGTTTCCCCCACAGTCCAAAGACATGCTACTGGTGAATTGTGTAGGCTAAATTGTCCGTAGTGTATGAGGGTGACAGGCCAGCTGGAATGTGTAAAAAAGTCATTATCATATGGACAAGTCTAAATGGAGGACTTGTTACAAAGAGCCGACACCGCAACCATACGGGACTAAGGCCAAAGAAGAAGATGGCACCTTTACGGCCCAGATAAACAAGTAAAATTGAAGAAGTAGCATAATTTCATTTCAAGAATCAAAAGTCAAAGTCAGACCAAAATCTAGTTTGTATGGTGTTCCTAAAAAAATTACCATTGGTCAGTAGTTTGCAACCTTTCACCTCAAGTGAAGACCAAATGACTTGCCTGTAAAACCCCTGAAATCTTATCCTAATACCTGCTCAACTACCCTTCTGACAATGTGACATATACTGTTGTTAGAATTGCAGAATGCATGAATTCAAACTCTTGTAGTTGGAGCTCATTGCAAATACTCATCTCCAATGTAATACCCTCACTGCATAGCTTTATGCTGCATGTAGTATTTTAACAGCTGTTAAAATTACTACAAGTTCGCATTCAAGTAAGCATCTGTGAGCTGATTATACAACTTGATACAACAACTCCTTTCCTAATGCAGTACAAGTGAGCATTACAAGATTGCATCATACGCTTCAAACTTAAGTAGAGAACAGGAGATTCACAGAAGGAAGGTGATATGCAAATATTCTTCAGTGCCTTTAAGAAAGGTGGAAAAATATTATGTTCTTATTATGTATTTATTTATGTTTAACGGATCTTTTAAAAATGTATTTGGGGTAAATACAAAGTTATTAACAAACAGTGCCACATTTTTATTTTAAGAAAGACTACACATCTAAATTATTATAAAAAATGAAACTAAACTAATATTATGAAGGTCACACTATCTGATATTTTTACTAAATCTCATGTATCTTTTTATTATGATTGTCAGCTTTCTGTCTAAGATATTTTTAAATTGAAAATATGTGCCATAATGACCTACTTCAAATGCTACTAGAAACATTGTATTATCAAATTACAAATGTCTGGACCTATACTATTAAGGGAACATCCTTTTTATTATTTAAAAAAATGCTTATAAAATGGACATCAATTTACGTCTGGGATTTCTAATGTATTGTACCACAAACATTTGTGTCATATCATTAGGACATTAAAAGAAACCAATGATGCTTTGTTGAGCATTTAGATGGAAAGATGTCTATTCATTTTACACAAGTGCTTAAATAAACCTGTTCCTTTGAATAATCACAGCAATAGCAACCGCAGGTGACTGCCAACTTCCTGTAGCTCTTGAAATAAAGTCAAAGTTTTGCCGCAAGCACAAGCCAGGGAAAAGAGGAAACAAAGGTGCCGTGACACACCTACAGTCAAGTGATATGAGATGCGGCATTAGTGCATTTGGGGAAGTGAATAGAGGCATAAATCATTTGTGGGGTCCGGAAAACCTGTGCGGTTTTAGGTTTTACTATGGATGTAAACTTTGTTCTGACCTGCAAGTAGCGTGATTAATATTGAATGACAAAAGTCAAACGTGCAATTTACATTCTTATAATGTTCGTCACTGCTCATTTTACGCATCTGGAACTATAGAAAATACCAGATTTACAGAAGCTTCTCTACTAATCTCCGACAGTATTGACAGAAAAAGGAATGTGAAGGATATTATATTCAGATGAAAGCTTAAATCATAGTGGTAGTGCATATAGCCATTTTGATCTCCTTTAGCATAAAGAACAAAAAACTACCTAAATGACAAAAATAATCCTGTCAAAATATTGAGACCCTTACAAAAATCAACAACAGCCATGACGAAAATGTGCATAATCTTATATTTATAATAGATTCTATATTGTGCTGCATGATATTGGACAAAAATCTAACATCTAACATGCAATATATATTGCGATATAAATACAAGTTAAAAAACTATTCGGAAACAATTGATTAGGAATTAGATTCAGAATTGATTAGATTGACGGGTGTGATTCTGTAGGGGACTGTATAAAATATAATAAACTATCCACAAACATAGACAAATACAATATACAAAATTGAAAAATAAATAAAAAGTGTTTCATTGTTTTCCACAGGAGTCAAACTGTATTTGGGTATACAGTAATTAAAAAAACAAATGTAAAAATAATACTGCATAGTCTTTGTTTTATAAACAATTCAATAAAATTAATTGCTGTTAATTTGTTGTTAAGTTACAATTGGTACAATTTCTTATGTCTGAATGCTTTTAAAATCCTCACACAGTCACAGTCCTCAAAAAACACTTGCAAAATGATAAATTATAATCCAGACTCAACATTGTGTTTACTCAGGATGCGACTACTGCAAATGATAACATTGCAATATCGATGTTGAAACGATATATTGTGAAGCCCTAATTCTATATATCCAATCTGGATCCCCCAAAGTAAATAAATGATTATTTTACAAACTGTTCACTAAATCGAATTCATTGTCATAAAAGAATAATCTTAGTGTGAAAATATTTTATTACCCTAAATGACCCTTTTCTCCAACTAAACTTTTATGAAATGTGATTTTTGAATATGTTCTTCAAAGAACTGTCACTGACATTGGTTTTTCTCTAAGAGTATACCATGAAGTGTGATACTGTACGAGCTGTCTTAACATAATCTCCTCATTCATCAATGAGAAATTGGGCATGTCAAATAGGACACAATCTTAAAAGTGAATGTTCCATAATTGTGTCCTCGCAGCAATGCCATTAAAAAAAAAGAACTATTTTAGTTTCCTCAAAGAACCTTTCAAAGAATCATTCTTAAACAATTTTTTATATTTTTTATTATGTAAACAACCATTTACAAAAAAGAATGTTAAAGGTTCTTCATGGAACCATCAATGCCAGAAATTTTAGTTCTTTCTGACACCTTTATTTTTAAGAGTGAAGATCCTTTACTTTTATAGGAGTGTGGTTTGAACCACACAGTGTGTTACCTTTGTTTATATTGGAGCACTTACAGTAAATGACATGCTTGGACAACTTAGACATGCTAATTTTGCCTAATTAGTGTGTAATTTTCTTTGACAACAATATAAAGCCTTTCAAATATAGTCTGGCTGTTTAATTTGATGACTTTGGCATTGGTTCATCACTAAGGCGAACACGTCAGTGTGTCACACACGCCTGCGGTTTAGACAGCGATGCAGTTCGTCACGTTCCCTTTCATGACTCAACGCTTTCTGATGCAGCACTTCAAAAAGGGATCAGGTTTTTGAGGGTGTTATAAAAACAACCGTCTGTGCGGCTTGACTGGGAGCCGTGTCAAAAGTAAACCGACTCCATTCATTCAGTCAGCTCTTTCATGACTGTCAACAACACGTAGACACATTCAAATCCCCCTCATCCTCTTTTTAATTCATTATATTTCAAATAGGAAGACTATAGTTGAGCATCTGTTCTGGGCATGCTAACAGGTTTTCTTTCCCATTTTAGCAATTCATACTGAACGCGTGAATAAAGCGCAACCAAAAGGAGCAAAACAAACTTTTTGAGCTCGAATTAGTTTTAATTCGACACTTATTGTATACAAACATACCGAGGTTCCCGAAATTTGACCAAAAAAAAAATAAAAAATAAAAAAAAAATAAAAAAAAAATAAAAAAAAAAAAAATAAATAAATAAAACTGACCAAAAATTTTATTGAAAATATTAAACGCAAGAAAGTGTCTTGTGAAATCCAACATGTGACAAAAAAATCACTCGGAGTGTGTGCAGGTAAATGTGAAAAAAAAATGAACGACCCATTTGCTCACCTGTCCAGGTAAAAGGCTCAACTGCACCGCGGCAAATACTCGTAACAGTGACGTCAAATAACTCATCTCGAACGCCAAGACAAGTTTAATTGAAGGAAAATCCAAACAGTAGTCCGCCCGAATAGTCCATCCAATTTCAGCAGTTATTCCACAAAACGATTCTAAATGTCCAAATTGCGTCTTCCTTGTCGGAGGTTTTCTCAAATTAAATTAAACAATTTAAATTTAATATTTTCAACAGCTGTGACACGTCACGTAATTGCACCCAATCTACCGCTCCCTGTAGTAAATGCACGTGGTAAAGTGTTTTAAATAAGTCCTTATGCAATGTCCAGTGTTTGCAGTTACAGTTTGCAGGTTTTAAAGGTCCTTGCGCGCTTCTGGAGCTCCAGCGTCAGTTTGCGTGCTTCCTGCTTTCCCAAATAGAGTGGCACACTTCCACATGAGCGCCCTGACTACCTTTCAACAAGTTCATCATTTAAATCTCCTCCTCCTCCCGAAGCTTTGCTCATATTCATACTGTCCTCCCACTGCCCTCCCCTTTATAGACGCGCATCTCACTACTGTATTATGTGCATAGCTGAGTCAGACGACATTATACAAACCAATGAATTCAATTGAATGAATGTATGAATTCATGCATGAGCTAATTAATTAATGATACACAGCAAAGTGCGTGTGCTTTATAAAGTGGACCCCTTAAGCTGTTTTTTTTCCTCAAGTTTCTTTTAAGCTTGTTTTTTTATTAGTATTGTTTGGTGGTCTAAAATAATAATGGTATAAATTATTTTAATTGGTTTAAATAGGTAACATCTAAATTATTTATGAAATTACTTATTCTTTCACTTATGAAAGTGTTAGTCTTTTCTCATTTTTCATAAATATGTTACACTTTACACATTGGTCTATTTTATTGGAACATAATGTCACAAAATGCTATTTCTTTCAAAGCGTTTAGTGGTAGCTCTAAACCCATTATTCACATTAGTTATTGTTTGTTATTAACTAGCATCGATTCATATACTGGTCAGTATTTAATTATCTTCGTTGACATTAGATATTAAACACAGCTGTTCTTATTAGCCAAGTCCCATTAAAGTATTTTACAGATATTGAAATAATTTAAAAAAAAAAATCATGTATGAGGTAATTTGGAAATTAACATTAGAGTGTTCAGTCAAATATGGACAAACCAACAAAGGATGTTGGGTTATTTTTACTTCTTTATTCAATTGAATTAAATTTTATTAAATTTAAATTAAGTTTAAATTTAAGTTAATAAATTTAACGCACTTTTAAAGTCATTCGTAGAGTTTGTCTACATTTGACCACTGTTGTGTAACGACAAGCCAATATTTTTTAAAGTGTAAGATTTGTAAATTATTTAGGTGTGTTTTTACAATAGCAGTACATGTTAGTCTGTGGAGGAGATTTAACTTTTTATTTTAAAACTGCTTTTAAAATTGTTTTATCTGTAACTATTTCATTCGTTTTTTTAATCATTTATTCTGACATGAAAGAAGGAGCCCAAATTTTCCATCTTGTGTACGATGGGTAAATAAAGAGTTGAGGATCCATGCTCAAGTCAAGGAATACATAACAGAAAACATAACAGACTAAGGATCATCTATGACATCTTGGAAGTAATGAAAAAATCAACAGACAACAAGAGGGGACAAATAATGCTGAAAACAATTAGCTAAACAAGATGAGGAGGGGGGTGAGACAATAAATAACTAAGGTAAAAATGACTGAAACAAGACATGACATAAAGGTTAAACAGAAAACACACACAAGGAATGGGGATGTAAATCATGACACCATGCAGTAATAAAATAATGAAGTTCTTCCAACAAACCTGTGAAATATCCAATATATTTATTAATCCAGACTTTCATCAAAAACATAAATTCATGTTATTTTAAACACAAAAAAAAGCATTATACATTCGAACTTAATTTGATTATGTTCAATCCCCTTAAATTTGTTAAAAAATAAAGCTAACTTGATTTGTGTTAGGACAACATGAAAGAATTGTGTGAAACCCAGCATTTGTTAGCAAATAATGAGATCAGTCACGTAAAATGACATGGGTAAAAATGAAGACTATCAGCTGTTTCAGTGCAGCATCCCATTACAGATGTTAAAATATTTACAGAAGAATGAGTGAAACTACCTTTTAGTGCACTCAAAAAATATATTTTGCTGCTTGTTCAAACTACTTATGTCAAATGAGCAGAAACAACACAATTCTTAAGACTTTTTTAATGTTTAAAAGATTTGTGTTGGGACAACATAAATGAATTGTGTGGAACCCTGCATTTTTTACAGTGTGTTTTCTTCATGTGACATGCTTAGCCAGCCTGATCTAACGAAAAAACAAAAATATTTTACATTTTGCCAGTTTAGTGGCTAATAGAGTTCAGTCGTACGAAAATGTACGATTTTAAAAAGGAGGCGTGGCACCAAACCCCACCCCTAAACCCAACCATCATTGGGGGATGAGCAAATTGTACTAAATTGTACGAATTAGATTATACGAATTAGCCACTAAATCAAAAAGTTATGAATTGCCGTGAGATTGTGTTGGCTTAGCACTTGCTATCGTGTCATAAGACAATACAGAAACTTAAAAGCATGTGTGTTGATTTTGGCCCATTCTGCGATGGTTTATGCGGTCAGTATTCTCAGAATTCATCAAGTATTCTGGGTAAAACAGTATGGGGCACACATTCAGTCAGACCAGACCAGAAAAAGCTCACGCTCAGAATAGGCGCCCTGAGAAACAAACAAAAAACATTTGCAGAGTATGCTATATTATTATAAACTAGCCTAGTAGTGAGACAGCATTTTTGAAAAATGTATCTGCTCCACATTTAGTCGCTATGCATGAGTGCATGTATTTGTATGTGGTTTAGGTTGAACAGTTCTTTCCTTACATCAAGTTTATTTACAAGTATGTGGTGTTTGCTAGCACTGGAATGCTCAGGCTGGAGATTCTTCAGTTTGCATTCTTCATGCCTTGTTGATGGACAGGGCCTCTGTGTTCCATTGTAAAGAGCACGCTTTGCTAAATGGTGTCAGCAAACAGTGCGAGTTCCGCTGCCTCAGATTATCCCCATTCTTACACCACTTGCTCTTGGGCTACCACCAAATGAAATCAGTGAGCTTTCATCTGGGAAAGAAGCTTATCAAGATTCACAAGTTAAAAATAAACCGTCCTAAAAGGGATTTTTGGTTGAAGAACCATTTTAGAGATCAGGTCTTAAAAGATTTCAAAACAAAAGCATGTGATTGTTAAAGGATCTTCAGGGAACACTAGATCTGTTGGTGCACTTTTGTCTTTGTACAGATATTGGGTGACACAGAAGCTCAGTGGTTAGCACTGACAGCAAGAATGTTGCTTGTTCAAGTCTCTGCTGGGCCAGTTGCCATTTCCGTTTGGAGTTTGCATGTTCTTCCATGTTCGCGTGTGTTTCCTCCAGGTGCTCCGGTTTCCCCCACAGTCCAGAGACATGCTATAGGTGAACTGAATAAACTAAATAGGTGTATGGGTGTTTCACAGTACTGGGTTGTGGCTGGAAGGGCATCCGCTGTGTAAAACATATGCTGGTATTGTTGGTGGTTCATTCCGCTGTGGCGACCCCTGATAAATAATAGGGGTACGGGTATGGTGCAAGATGGCGCCAGGCTGTTTGGCATGCCGTCTGCCGCTCTGACATCCTTTTATTTTACCATTGTCTTTATTGCTTTTCTTGCTTTTATCACCTATCATCAGTTGTACCATTTTTATTTATGACCATGATGCTCTTACCATAATAGAGGTAGTTTTGACTACTACTTTGAACACTGTTAGCTTTAGCGAGACATGTTCTACAAACAATCTTAACAACAAATCTAACGCTGTCCCCAACTACATTCCAGAATTTTTATGTTGACGGCCGCTCTACTTCAAACGTCGTAAACAGAGGAGAAACACAGTAATTACAGTATTGCAGTATGTGCCTATTGCTGTTATTGTTTATAATGTCCATACAGTTTTTTTCTATAAAGCACTTTGTGCAGCTTTGTGGCAGTTGGAAACGTGCTTTCTAAAATAAATTGAAATTGAACTGGAACTTGACTAAGCCGAAGAAAATTAAATGAATGAATGGATGCATAGATTTTTTTTTTTTTTTGGGAATCGCCAAAAATATATTTTTTAAATGCCATAAATCATTAGGATATTAAATAAAGATCATGTTCAGTAAATGCCATTTTGTAAAATGCACCCATAAATATATTAAAATAGAATTTTTGATTAGTAATGGAGTTGCACAATACATGGCAAAATTATTGTGATCATGATAATAGTATATGCAATATATGTGCACTGCAAAAAATGCTTTTCTTACTTAGATTTTTGTCTTGTTTCTAGTCCAAATATTTAACAACTCCTAAATCAAGAAGAAACTTCTAGACAAGCAAAACATACTGTCTGAGTTTTTCCGTAAAACAAGCAAAATAATCTGCCAATGGGGTAAGCAAAATAATCTTACGTCAAAAGAAAAAACAAGATTAATTTGCTTACCCCATTGGCAGATTATTTTGCTTGTTTTAAGGAAAAATCACGTAATATTGGCATTTTATTTCTCAAAACAAGACAATATGTTTTGCTTGTCTAGAAAATGCTTCTTGATATAAGAAACTTTAGATATTTAGACTAGAAATAAGACAAAAAATCTTAGCAAGAAAAGCATTTTTTCCAGTGTGATCAATTACATTTATTTTATGCATTTGTATTTTATCTAAATTTGACCAACTAGATGGTCCCTTACTTTCTTTAGCCCTGCCTCTTAGTAGTTGCAGGTCTGCTATTGGCTGGATCAGCCCAAAGGTGAATCCAGAGCTGATAAGAAACACTTAAATGACAATAGCCAATCAGAGTCAGAATATCTGCTGCAGTTTTCACTCATAGTGGTTTAAAGATGTAATGTTTGGACTTTGAAACAGCTTTTTAATTTGAATTAGCATTAATACTGAAATTGTATATCTTTTACCTGTTTATTTGAATAACATTTAATAAATAAGTAATTTCAAAAAGCCAATGAAATAGCCTTCATTTGTTGGAAATGTTAAATTGTAGAGTGTAACCTCTAGCAAGTATACTAGAACACTAGAAAGTATAACCTCAAATGGTAGGTGGATGTAGAAGGCCTGCAAAGTTTTAAAAATTAAAGTGAACACTTACACTCGCTTTCCTTCAGGTTATTTTCTTCCTTATGAGGAGCTGCTCCAGCAGAGTGAACCACAAATAACTCATAAACCCCCAGTGCTGAGTAACACCCACACACTCTTTCATTCACACACTCACTTACACTCACTCTACAATATCTATTTCACCTTCATTTTATTAGTAAGGATCAGAGAAATACTCAGACATGAACTGATAAAACTGACACCATTGTAGCTGTTTATTTTACTA